ATCAAATACAAGACTAAGGAGATAAAAAAAAACTATTAGTACTTGTCCAGTGTTTGCTTGCTCTTGATCTTTGATATTTTAGCACTTCAAGCCTTGAATTCCTTCTTCAATTTGCATTTGTCAATCTTGAATGTATTTGCATTGTATTCCTCAAAATCCTTCTTGAGTTGATTTATAACAATAATTACGTTAAATACACAACTCAAAATAGAATCATTAGAGACATAATACATTGTGTTTGTGATCATCAAAACATGAGAATATTCAACTTTGGGCCAACAATCTCCCCCTTTTTGATGATGACAAACACTTGATTTGCTAAGATAATATAAGCAATTACATTGTTTTTCTTTACAAGTGTTATGACTCCCCCTTATTTAATCACTTGATACTTGCTTGAAAATATTCTCCCCCTTAATCTATTAAGCCCTTAGAGAGAACATCAACAAAAAAAAAACCATTAGTAGGCAAAAAAAAACACTTGATACCCCATCTCCCCCTTTTGTCATCAACAAAAAAAATCATAACAATGTAATCACCAAATAAGTTACAGTAACCATTAGTCATTCAAATAAGTTACATTAGTCATAAGTAATAAAATAACCATCAAAAGACATAGTGAAACATTAATTATTTATCTAAGAAGGAGGAGGCCCTTGAAAATTGATACGACGAAGTTGTTCAAGAATTTGTGCTTGCGTATCGGCGATTTCTTGATGATGGACTTGAAAATCATTCCGGAGATTGGAGATGCTTGAGTCGACAAAGGGAATAGAGACTTTGGATGCCGGTGTTTAGTTGCGTTCGAAGCTCATCATGACTTGTACAAAGGGACTCAATCCGTCCATGGAGGTGATTTAATGCTTCGTCATTGAACTGAGTTGAACTGCCTCTAGTCTCTTCTTCGTCTCCTTCGTTTTCAACTCTGGCCCTTTTCTTCGAAATCCACCTTCCATTTTCAAACTTATAGCCCATGAGTTTGATCGTGGTTTTATTGTAATCAGATTTGGGTGGAATAACATATGTTTCGTCATCAAGATCTACGTTGAAATAACGAAAAACCTTTGTTAGCACCATCCCATACGGAAGACTCGGATCCCTAGCCAAATTATTGCCCTCCACCATCTTGTGAATGATCAAATAGGGAAGGTTTGTCCGTTCACTTTGGAGAAGGCAGAACATCAGATAAAGATCAGTGAATGAAACCTCATCCCTATGCCCTCCTCTAGGAGTGATATTGTTTGAGATAATGAGGTGAATGACTCTACTCCTAAGGGGTAGTTCATTGGCTTTTGGCTTTGGGGGTAGAGGCTCAATCTCGTCTTCATCGCTCCATTGAGTTGGGGTTTTCTCCATAATAATCCTTGACATTGTTTCCCCATGATAAGCCCAAGAGTCACAAGTATGCACACATTTTCCCACATTCAGAATCCCAAAAATGTTTGAGATTACCTCTCTATCAATTTCTATGCGTTGTCCCTTGAGAGTGCATGATAGTTGGACATTGGAGTCACACGTCGTGTATTCCATATGGGCATAAAAGGCTTTTACTAACCTAGGGTAGACTACTTCCTTAACCTCCACAAATGCTTTCCAACCTAGAGTCTCAAACAATCTCTCAATGTCTAACTCTCTAAACTCACTAAAATCCACAAATCTTCCTTCTACAATGGATTTCTTTTCAAAAAGCTTAAAGGAACGAGAATTAAATTCAGCATTGGATACCTTCTTTCGTGGCCCAGAGGAAGTGGATTTCACATTTTTTCATTTTCCACGTGATGATTGACCCTGCGAAGCCATTGAAGCAATCTGTCGAACACTTTGTGGGTGATTTCCGGATTGAAGTGGATTTGAAGTGAAAGTTGAGAAAGAGTGGAAAGAGATGAGAATGTGTGAGGAAGAACGTTTCTTCAGAGGGTTTGATTATGATTGTAGAGGAAATT